TTTCAGATCGGTCCCCAAAATGGAATTTGGCCCCACCGGCCGGTCATCGAAAATCTCCAGTTTTGGGTGATTTTCATGAATATCCTTTTGGAGTTGAAAACCTAATAAGAACTGCTCTATGCGATTGCTCATTAATGTTTGGATAGTTTCCTAATGTTTCAAGTTAAAAAAAGCTATTTTTCAGATCGGTCCCAAAAATGGACTAATGTTCGAATAGTTCGCTAACGTTCGAAGTTAAAATCAGGGGAGATCGATATCACAAAAATGAAGTTGCCCCAAAAAGCCATTCATCAAGAATTTTCATCAAAAATATTTTTGAGCTAAAAACATGTGGTAGACTCTCTCTTTGTCCATTGTCTTAATGTCTTTCATGATTTGTTTGCTATTAATTCAAATGTAAAACAGAGCATATTTAGTGACCTTTTAAAAATCAGATTTTTCCTCACTACAGTTGGAAATAAAGTTTCCATTTTAGGCTTGTTTTGTGAAAAATTATTTTTGAGCTAAAAACTAAATGGCACACTGTCTGTTTGCAAGTCTCCAAATAACTGTTTTCTTTAAGGAGTGACATATTGCACTCTAGGGACACAAAGACAATCAAAGCAATACAATATGTACATAGATCATACATTGTTGTCATGTAGCTACAAAATTTTCCAATATAACAAACACTCTCATTGGTTGAAAGATGACCATGCGACACTAGCTAGATCTAAATGTATCCCAACCAGGAAATAAGTTACTTCTTTCCCGGTCGGGAAATAAGTTGCAGGTGACAATAATTGTGAAAATAAACAAGTGCAAGTGATCAGAACGTGAAAATCGCTGATGGAGTGATTTTTTGCACCAATCACAAACAACAAAGGAGGAGCAGATATTTTGCTTRAATTTTCAGTACATATTGAGCTCGAAGTGAAATAATAGAGATTTTACAGTGTTTCTACAGAGAAATTACAGACTTTCATTGAGAAAAAGGATTCAGAAAATATGAAAAAAGCGACTAAAAATGCTGTTGCTACTCTCCTCGCTTTTTGGTAGAGAAATACAAGACCGTATGTGAGTTGTATTTGTAAAATCATGGTCAGTTTTCATGCACTTAGCTTGCCAAATAAAGTTTTTATTTCGTAAACTGACTTCTCAATATTTGTCAATTGCTATATAACAAAACACTTAATGTCAAGACTACCACTTAATGTCTGTTCCGTCGGCTTCGCCTCGTGAAACATCGAGACTGACTCTCAGGAAAACAAAGCTAACTATTTCCCTTACTTGCTACCAGACATTAAGTATATATTATTTGTCACCAGAATACTGTCTATGGAACAATAACAACACTTAGATGACCACATCCATCCAATATGTGCATAGATCCTACATGGTTATATCACCTCCATACTGTCAATGAAACAATAGCAACACTAAGATGACCACACCCATCCAATATGTGCATAGATCCTACATGGTTATATATCACCTCCATACTATTAATGGATCAATAGCAACACTAAGATGACCACACCCATCCAGTATGTGCATAGTTAAGAATATATTATATAATATATAACACAGATACACTGGGACATTGTGTGGGTGTTAACTAAAAGAAGCCAAAGAAAAAGGGAAAATTTAAACAGGGAGAGGAACTTTTTAGAGGCTTTCTAAATATTGTCACCTCCTAGAAATCATGCAACATGTCATAAAAATATATCTGAACATTACCTTTACCATCTTGTGCAAGTGAAGATCAATCTATCCAGCAATCTGTTTAAGTATGACCTGTTGTTAATACAGACCTTGCTTTGTGCACTGGGATCTTGCTAATACCTAAAGGACAGAGTTTGTCTTAGCACTGAGTATTCCAGATCCTATCCTAAAGAAAAAGGGAATATTTAAACAGGGAGAGGATCTTTTTATAGGCTTTCTAAAGATTGTCACCTCCTAGAAATCATGCTAGATCTGTCATAAAAATATATCTGAACATTACCTCATCATCTTGTGCAAGTGAAGATCAATCTATCCAGCAATGACCTGTTGTTAATATAGACCTTGCTTTGTGCAACTGAGATTTTCTTAATACCTAAAGGACAGAGCTTGTCTTAGCACTGAGTATTCCAGATCCTACCTCTAATTATAATATTTCTTAAATAATATGTGCAACAAAACCATGCTAACTTACATTCTAGATCAATTATATGCAGGGTGGTAAACAGGGATGTCTAGTACTGTCCTAAGGGTCCCCTGTCCCCAACATAGTACATCCCAGAGTCTCCTGGGTGTCCCCTCAAACTTCCCTTAACTGTCTCTGGATTACTCTCTTAGATTATTAGATTAGATTAGACTAGTCATGGTCATGAAAGACCCACTTAGTGCAATAACCTTTAACCATTATTATTATCATTATCATTATTATTATTATTATTATTATTGCTGTTGTTGTTGTTGTGGTTGTTGTTGTTGGTGTTATTATTAAGGAAATTCTTTATACTTAACTTAACTTTTGTGAATTATTAGAACTAGAACTAAATGTGAATTCAGCACTTACAGGAATAGAAAAATTATTGATTTCATTCCAAATGACTTTTCCTATTTTATAACAAGACTTGACAGATGTAATTTTGGAGGAGATTCCAACAGAGATTTTGTCATACAGGACATTTAATGACCTGGAATTATCTGCTTGCCAAGCTAAAGATTTCATATTGGTGTATCCAAACACCTTTTCTTATCTTGTGACAAGACGTGAGAGACGTAATCCTAGAGGAGACTCCAAAATAGACATACAGGCCATAATGACCTGGAATACGCTTACAGGTGTAAGCTGCTTGTCAATGCAGAAGCACTTGTATCACTATTATAAACCAGTCTGGAACAAGCAAACAAACATAATTAGTTTTAACTAGTAAGAGTTAACAGGCCTTACTCGTTCTATCTTCGTATTCCAGAAGGACTTTTACTCACGGGTAATATATCTTTAAATTTCTTCGGACATCAAATCTTCTTTGTCTTTCTTCACATCTCTTCCGTACATATATCCGAAAAATATGGAATTATTCTCAAAGAACAAAGTGTTCCTATGTCTTTTTACACCTGGGTTTTACGACATACGCATTTATTAATATCTTGAATGACTGAAGTAAAGTACAAGTAAGAGGGCATCTTCTAGCACAAATCAAAAGCACACACTATTTTAAAAAATTTACTTCATTCCTTCTAAACGTTTCGTCATTTTGTAAATTGTGTTACCCACATCTTTGGAAAAACTTTCGCGAAACCGTCGCGAACAAATCGATTGTCACTCGCCAAAGACCGACTAACAGCCGACTCCGAAAAAGGGAGCGGCGCAGGCGGGGACTTTCGGCGAGTCTGTGGCTGCGTTTACAGTATAACCGGGGAATTTTTAACCGCTCAAAAATTCAACCCGTACGAACCATCAACTTTAATCGTATAAAAAATACGTGCTGTTTACACGGAACCAGATCAAATGACGTTTTTATTTACGGCTTTCCGTACGAAAAGTTATCTGTACAAGGTGTTCACCCTACCGTACCGTAAGAAAAGGTATCCCTACGAAAAGGTATGCGGACAAGTTTTTTACACGTTGCCGATCAATTTTTTATCCATGCAAGTCAAAAATTCGACCTCGATGTTTTATGTCCCAAATTTGGACATAGTTAATATTAACTATGATTTGGACGGCTAGGTTTACGAATTTTCGTTCGGATAGCTAGCTCAGTCCCGTGTTAACGGAACCCCTAAGCGTGCAACTTTTTAGACTTGCCCCAAGTCGACCTCTCTTGTCTCCCGCTAGATTCATTTATTCAAACAACTTCTCGAAAGTCTAGCAAGTTTTCAGTGTTGAGTGTCGTTGGAAAGTGCCAGGGGAAGATATTTTGCATTCTTCATAAATAATATTTGGAAAGGTGTGAAAGTGGTCCAAAATCGATAAATACCATGGGCTATAGCCCACTCTTTCCGACTAAAAATGACCAGAAATGRCCCATTTTGCATTCTTCATAAATAATACATCRTATTGGAAAAGGTGTGAAAATTGTCCAAAATATGTCAAAACCATGTATATTGCTTTCTGGGTGAAAATGGCGAAAATATCCTTTTTCACATTCTTCATAAATAATGCACAATATTTGAAAAGTTTACAAGATGGTCCAAAATCAATCAAAGCATGAGGTATAGTCCACTCTTTTTGGCTGAAAATGGTCAGAAATCACCTAGTTTGCATCCTTTATAAATAATGCATCATATTGGAAAAGGTTTGAAAGTGGTCCAAAAGCGATCAAAACCGTGGGGGTAAAATCCATGCTTTTTGGTTTAGTGCATAACATTTTAATAAGGGTCATAATAATATTAAATGGAGCTATAATAAAAGGCATGTTTTTTGGGGGCAAAACCCTCTAAAAATGGCGCTTCTTTAAAATTTGGTAAAAAATAGACATTAGGTAAACTTATTGAGTTGAACATGATTTATTTAGTTTTAATCAATTATAGATATATTACTATTTAGAAAAACCATAATATACTTTTATTCTTTCTTTCATAAACTTAGCAGTAAATATTTCATAAATTATTAAGAAAAACGATCAAAAATTAAACGATATTTTATTACATTGCAATAATTTGTATATACCTAGTGTTAAGCTACGGACACGCGGTGCAACATTGTGAGCAATGTTCCATGCAATTGATGTTGCATCCATGACACACGACGCAATTTGTTAAAAAAAAACAAATCAAAAAACATCCTAAGGCACGGACACACGGTGCAACATTGTGCGCAACATTGCAGGCAATCTTGCTGAAGTAGGATAGTTTTCTACTTCAGCAACGTTGCGTGCAACAAATTGCATCGTGTGTCAGGGCTCGCAACATCAATCGCATGCAACATTGGGCGCAATGTTGCACCGTATGTCCGTAGCTTAAAAAAACTATCCTACTTCAGCAACATTGCCTGCAATGTTGCGCGCAATGTTGCACCGTGTGCCCGTGCCTTTAGCTTCCTTAATTAGCTGAAAGTTCAGTTCGAGTGAAGAATATAGTTATGCTACAAAATTTATTTATTAGAACGATATAAGAAAACGAAACAGCTAGAGGGCAATAGTGCTAAATACACTGACATGTCAGTATTTCATGAGCTTATGCAAATCACTCAATAATATAAATATGATTTTGTCCTCCTATTTTCTGAAATAAAATCTTTAACTGTTGACTTTTTTCGCGCCAAAATCGGAAATTAATACCTTAGACCAGAAATTAACACTTTTCGTAAAATAAAACTTTGAGCAAGACCTGGCGCACATTACTCAACAGATCAACCAAAACCAGTATATGATTTTAATGATCTTAAAATAAATAATGATAGAGTATATTTTATGGGTTGGAAACGATACAGTTAATGCAACTAGATACTCTGTGATTGGATGACTCAAAAGCTAATAAAATAATGGGTTTTATTTTTACAGGTTTGCTGGGAATTCATCGTGTCTTTGTAAAGCTTCAATGATGTCGCTCGGAGATCCTCCCTCAAAACAGATATTGTGTAAGACTGTCACTAATGGAAATCTGAAAAGCAAATCGCAATATAAGATCTTGAACTGCGTCAAAAAAGAAACTGTTTTGATTAAATTGATGGTGGCTTAGGGGTAGTGCTTCTGGTTCGCTTCCTGGACTCCACATCACTTGAGTAGAGTTTGTCGGGTATTTACCTCAATTCTAGGGTTTTTCTCTTGGTTCTCTGGCTTTGGCCTCCCCCCACAAAACTCGCTAAATTTCAATATTGATAAATTTTAAAGGTTGAGTGTGAAAGCGTTGTGATATGGACCTGATATTATACTCAATGTATACACTTTGTTTTTCAAAAAAAAACAATTGTGCAGTGTATTGGTAAACAATAGGATAATCAAAGGCTGTCATCGTTTTTATTTATTTATTTCTTTATAATAACTTTATTTGCAAACAAACAATAATAGAAAAAAAGTTGCAAAAAGGGTGCTGCCAGGGAAGAACTGAATCCTCATATACGGCAGCCCCCACTACCTAATAACAGTGAAATCTCTGGTAGAAAAGAAAAAAATTACAAATTATAAAAAAGATTAAGAAACTATATAAATATATTATAAAATCGTTAAAAGTTATTGGAACTAAAAATATGGAAATAATGTAATACTAGTTACAAAGAAAGAAAATGAATAGGATAAAAATTTACTAGTTCTCCTTGAACAAATAATCTCTAAGACCTTCCTTGAATTTAATAAGAGAATTACAATGAACTTAATGTACTGGCAGATCGTTCCATATGTTATTATATACCGAATCCAAAAGGAGTATTTTATAGATGTTAGTTCGAGCATATGGTGTCCAAATTTTGTGGTCATGAGTAGACCTAGTACGACCTTTAGAAAAGTAACCTTATAATTTAACTTTAGAAAAGCCATTTATAAACTTAAATAATTGAACTAAGCTAAGAAAGTCACGACCAGAGTGAAGACTTGGCCATCCCAGGTATTTCAAACGTTCATTGTACTCAATGGAACTGCCTAAAATCCATCTTGTGACATTCCTTTGAATTCTTTCAAGTTTATCAGATAGGTATTGTTGGTGTGGATTCCATTTAGGGCACGCATACTCCATGATTGGACGAACCATAGTTTTAAAACCAGTTATTATTGCCTCCGAACATTTCCCAAAAGTACGCTTCAAAAGACCAAGAATTTTGCACGCTTTAGCAGCAACTGTTAGTACATGAGTTTTCCAAGATAAATCAGATGATAGTGTGACTCCAAGGTGTTTATGGGTATGAACTTGATTAAGTGATGTCGAGTTTATGTTGCAGGAGCAAGATGTTGGTGTTTTAGCTCTGGTGATTCGCATACATTCGCATTTCTCGGCATTAATTTTCAGAAGCCATTCGTTGCTCCAAGCAGAGATACGCGATAAACTTTCTTGGATAGGGTGGGAGACATCAGATGGTTTGCTAGAGTTGAATAATAGTGTGTCGTCTGCAAATATTTCACTGGCACATGTTAGATTCTCTGGTATATCATTTACGTACAACAAAAACAGCATCGGTCCGACAATACTTCCCTGAGGCACTCCAGACGAAACATTAGTCCAGTTCGAACTTTCACCCTCTAATTCAACATGTTGATATCGTTCATGTAAGAAGTCACTCAGCCATTCAAGAATTTGACCACGAATCCCAAACTGCTGTAGCTTTGAAATGAGATGAACATGCGGAACAGAGTCAAAAGCTTTCTCGAAATCCAAAAAGACAACATCTGATGTTTTGCCCTTATCCAGAGCTGACGCCCATGTGTGGAATAAGTGAATAAGTTGGGATGTATACGAAAGGCCAACTCGGAACCCATAATGAACTTGACTAAGCAGAATGTGATTCTCGAGATATGACAGGATGTGGTTAACAACAAGCTTTTCGAGGGTCTTCACAACCAGAGAAGTGAGAGAAATTGGTCGATAATTCGTGACAAGTTCCTTCTCGCCTTTTTTAAACACTGGGCCCAGTTGTTCAAAACCCGATTAGTGCTAATCCTGGATTAACTCTATATAAAGACCTATAGAGTTAATCCTGGATTAGAGCTAATCCAGCTTTGAACAACCCGGCCCTGGAGTAATATTAGCACGCTTCCAGTCGCATAATAACTTTCCTCTGTTGAGAGGCATGAAAGTGAGGTCGAAATTGAAGGAGCCGCAACACAAAGCAATCGTGCTGTTACACCATCAGGGCCAGTAACTTTATTAGTATTCAGTCCAAGTAATAATTTCTCAACGTTTGCACTAGAACACGCAAGATCTGCAATGATGTCATCAGTGTAAAGCGGTTGGGCATCAATACTTGAGTCAGAATTAGTGGAGAATGTTGACGCAAAAAAGTTATTAAATAGTTCAGCTTTTTCTTTGCCTGACGATGCTATAACGTCACGCTTATCCCATTTCATGGTCAAAGGGATGGATTATTTCTTTGTTTTGGATTTTATGAATGACCAAAACGCTTTGGATTCTTTGATTCAACTAGTGGACATGCCTGTAGTATTTTTTAGTTTTTACTTACTTTTTTTCTAGTTTTTTATCTTGCACCACTTTGAACACTGCTTCTAACGTGTCTGGACCAGGAAGCTTTCTAAACCTCAGCTCAGGAACAACAGACTCCAATTCCTTAAATGGCTAAAAGACAGATATTTAACATTTTATTAGTTTAGCACTTTGAGGATGAACGGGGAACCTAGTTGGGTTTAAGTCCTTGAAAGATTGAATTACTACTTAGAAGTTCAAGTTTGCAGAGGAGGAAAAATGGAGAATCCAGAGAAAAAACCCTCCAAGCAAGGGCGGATCCAGCCAAAATTTTAGGGGGGGTGGGGGGGGGTGCGGCTAATTGAGTTTCTTCCGTCAACACAACAGAAAACAATTAAAAAAACATATAATTCTTCAGTTCTGTTTTTTTTTCTGCTGAAGGGGGGCTTCAGCAGCTTCCCCCCCGGATCCGCCCTTGCCAAGAACTCTCCTCACGTTTGATCGCAGACCAAGGGAGGGTTTTCTTAGTTTTTCCCCTTCTAAAAAAACTGACCTTAAACACTCAATTCCAATTCGGTCAGTGATATGACAAGGTTTTATTCACACCACATTTACAAATTTAAGATATCATTTACAACTTCCGTAAAATATAAGCTTGCTGTAACAGCCAATGGGCTATACAGTACAGCAAGCTTAAGATAGACAGTTTTGCCCTGACTTTAATCAGCCCAGAGGTTGTTTCAGGGTTTCAATAATATTTAAAGATCGTTTGTGAAAGCATTGTCTTATGGACTTTATTATTATTATTACTACATGTATTATTATTATATTAAGGATTGAATTTTGTAGGAATTACACAGTCTGATTTTTATTAAGCTGGCTTCCTTACCTTCCCAGTCTTAACAAAAGCCTCTCCAGCGAGCCGATGTTTTCCACCATAACATGTCACAATGAAGTCAGCGATCCCACAAGATTCAAAAAATGTTGACATCCTTGAACCTGGCAGAAAAGCACGGGAAAACTCAAAGGCCTCCTCCAGACCTATTCTTATGATGGCTGCTTTAGTATTGTCACCATATCTAAGACAACAGAGAAAAACCTTAATGTCCAATGATCATACCCTGTAATCAATAATCTACATATAACAATCTACTAACTGCCGACAACCTAAAAACATAACATCCAATCCATTTCAGTCACATCCAAGCCATTCCAGTCATATGTAATTCATTCTGGACACATCCAATCCATTCCAGTCACATCCAATCCATTCCAGTCACATCCACATCCAAAGCTTTCAACTACTTTCCATGGACACACAGTGAGTATGACTTGTGGTAATCTAGTAACATTTAATTCATTCCAGTCACATTCAATGCCACTATAAACATTTTTTTCTTGCTTTTTTATTTATTTTCATTTTATTTCTTGTTAAATTTTATTTAAATTTCAAATATTTAGAACTCACCCAAGACCATCAATGATCCCTGCACCAATAGCAACTACATTCTTCAAAAAAAAACCAGAAAATGTAAACAGGTTACATAATATATATAATTATATTTTTCTTTGTTTATCTAGCTTTGTCTCCAGTTCAAAATACGAAGGGGAAAAACTGATACAAAAATAGATGTACATGTTCTAAGGCAGGGAAACCGCATCAGCTAATGCCAATTACTGTGGACCCTTATCAAAATAATGAAGTCAGTGTCTTGTCAATACATTTAGGAGCAGCACATTAAAGGACTTAGACGAGCAGAATTACACTTTAAACAAATTGACTTCCATGAGCAAGGATCATCTGGGTTGTATGAGCACTGAAGAGCTGAGATGTAGTACTGGAAAATGTCTTTTAAAGGAGGATAGTGATATATTACAGTAAGATGAACATAATCTTGAGRAGTAGTGTAGCTACTGATATGTATCTTGAACTACCTTAATAGCACCACAGAACTCAACACTCTCCACATCAGATATCACATGGACTTTAAAGTAGGGCATGCTAAGAAGTTCTTTGAATATGTAGCCATGCTCAAGAGAATTAGAACCTAAAAGCAAGAGGAATAAATAAATAGATGGATGGATGACGGAAGTGTTTCTCTGCTTTTCCATTTGTTTTAAAGATAGTTTTTGGGGTTTTGATGTTTTTATATATAAATCAATACATTAATCTCTTAATTAGGGGTAAAAAATAAGTCTTTTGATTGAGGAAATCAAGATTTTCTGTACCAACACATTGACCTTTATGAGTCAAGTGTGTAGAAGTGTGGCGTAGAAGTAGGACGTTCATCTCTGGGGTATCGGGTTTGATTCCTGGACTCTGCATCACTTTTTTGGTTTGTTGGAAATTTAAAAAATGATGTTTGGATTACTAAAATAATACTGTATTTACCAATAGTTGACTCAGAAAACATTTCCTTGGCAACTTCTTCAGCAATATTYGCACCCATCATGACGCTCACATCTGGAATGTTTAGTATATCTTTTATTTGCTGTGAAATCAGGTGAAATCCCTTTTTGCTATGATCAAGACCCTGTAACATAAAATATATACCATCATATACAAACAGGAAGCTGACTGCGCACCACACCTCACCTTTCTTCATCATTGATGCTCCAATTTTAATAGCATTTAAATTACAGGCTTCAGAGATTGGGCTGTATGGGTGGTAGGGTTGTTTTATGTGCTGCTAAAGTGCTGTCTCTCATCACTGAGTAGTTCACCCGTGGGTTTGTGGGTTGAATTGCTGTCTTTTTTTTGGTATAATGGTAGTGCATGTAGAGTGAACCTCACTGAAGAGTGAGTGATGGTTGCAAGGGTGTAACCAGGGATCTTGCAGGGGAGGGGCACAGGCAATGATTTGCAGAACC